ACGTCATCTCAGGCTAAAAATTATGCGATGCTTCAAATTTGACTGCGCCATTTACACAAGTTTGCATATATTATCTCTAAACTCGATTAGAACGCGCGCTTGAGCTATTACAAAACAAAACAAAAAAATTTTACGTCATTGAAATGGATATACGCAAATATGAACGAATTGATCATAATTATTTAACCTTATCCTACTTACGAGGGACGTCTCAACAACATGTTCATCATATCTAGAATACAGTGTGTTAAAAAATTTACATCAGAGGACCAAGAGATTACATGTAAAATATTATTATATAGACATTAAAAATTTTCTTTTCAAAAATAATCGAATTTCTTTTATTTTTAACTGATGAAGTTCTAGAAAATATGGATAGATATAATTTTATATACATAATCCTCTGACTTTATTTAAGCTACGAATTGATACAATTTTTTGTATAATAATTATGCGTGTTTTTGTATTAGAGCAATTGTTAAAAAACTCCACGTTAAAATTTCAGACATATTTTGTATCAAGTTTTCTTTTATTCAATAAAGTATTAATTCGATTTTTGTGTGCGCAATTTTTTTCGTAACAATTTATTTCTACACATTCTTTATTCCTGTGATTCTTATACCTTTACCTAGAACTTGCTGTTTTTTCATTGATTTTTCATCCATCCATTTGAGCAACAAATATTTGACATAATGTACCAAATTTGGCTTGAAAGATCAAATAGAGAGAGATCTAGATCTTAACAAAAGAAGATACTGTTTCGCTTGCAGAGAGCGGTGGAGATCCTTCATATCAGTTTGTATAAGTATGTCTTTCATACATTCATTTTAAAATAAAAAAATAAAGGAGAATTTTAAGATTAAGTTAATATTTGATCAAAATAAATTTTTTCCGATATTAAAATATTTAGGCAACTTTCATTTAATTGATTTCTTTTTGACTTAAGTAAATTGATTAAATAAATGTGCGTCTCATAAATAAAATAAAAATATATTCCTATTTTTATTTCTGTTCCTAATAATCACTTTCTTTGTCATCACTTTATGCTGAATTTTTGATTGATTTTCTGTTTTTCAGTTCAACTTTTTTTTCCCTCGATTAGACCCTGAGCAGTATTAGTTAGTGTTTAGAGCTTAATAGTAAATCATATTTCCTCTACCCACTTTTTGGAAATTATCCTAGGGATAATTAAGAAATTGATAATTTAATCAAGTCTTTAACATATGAAGATTTATTGTAGCAAAGGAATCTTTTGCGGTTATATATGGTGATTTATTACTACGAATAAAAATTATTGGGATCTCCATTGTCTAATTTATTGGTTAGATCTTAGATCTTAATGAAAAATATCTAAATTTGGACGTGTTGAATTATTTCTCTCACAAGTTGTCCAAATTGGGCAATAAAATTTTTTGAGTGACATTATTGTTTTACAATCAAACTACATATATATTATTTAATTACTTTTCATTATTTTACTATCAAAATTATTAAAGCAATACTCTTTTAATTTTCAAAAACGCGTTCACTTTTCTCTAATTCTTAGTACCATTTTAAGCAACACATAAAACTTTAAAGTTAGTGGTTAATGATGTCACATGTACGTTGCAAAATATAAGACATTGTTTCAAGTAAAACTTTTAAGCATTCAATAAAAATGAAAAACTAATTTTTTTAATAATGGTTTTAGAGATTAGGAGGTCGTAGAAAAAATGTTAAAAAAGGATTACAATTTACTGTAATGGTAGTTGGTAAGCTTGTAACTTTTAATTAATTGAGTTTTATGTTTTAATAAAGATATATTCTAACACTTTTGAATTCTTTCTAACTTTTTAGGTGCATCAGGAAGTGGACGAACAACTTTTGTTAATACTCTTTGTGGTAAAGAAGTTTTATCCAAAAAATCATGCGATGATCCTGAAAATGCTCTTGTTGAGGAAGGAATTCGTATCAAACCTGTTACTGTTGGTGAGTTATACTTACTTAATACTTGATGTACTAAAATTATTTCTTGTTATTAATTCATCATGTGGGGTTTTTCAAAAGAATTGGAAGAAGATGGCGTTAGAATCGCTTTAACAATAGTAGATACGCCTGGATTTGGTGATAATATTGACAATGGATTTTGGTAACATATATTTCAAAGAATTAAAAATAATTGTTATATGTTGGTTGATCTAAATTAATTAATACATGCGTACACATGCATATACACGATAATTAGTTTCCAAGAAATTGTGGGTTACTTAGAAAGACAGTATGATGATATTCTTGCAGAAGAATCAAGAATTAAGCGTAATCCAAGATTTCGTGATAATAGAGTTCACGCACTTCTTTATTTTATTACACCGACAGGTCATTCGTAAGTAATGTTATATGTGTATATATATCTACTTAGGATACATATTTTATATTTTTTAATAATAATAATAATAATAATAAAAGTGATTTTTTTTATTAGACTTCGTGAAATAGACATTGAACTAATGAAAAAACTTAGTCCACGTGTCAATGTCATTCCGGTTATTGGCAAAGCTGATACTTGTACACCAAGTGAATTAGTTGATTTTAAAAACAGAGTAATTGTTTTAAAAATTTACTTTACTTATTTGCAATGTTTATATATAATTTAAGCAATGCTTATTGTTTATTGATGTTATTCTATTTAGATAATGGATGACATTGATCACTATAATATTCCTATTTATAATTTTCCATATGATATAGAAGAAGATGATGATGAAACTGTTGAAGAGAATAGTGAATTAAGGGTAAATACATATATATCTATTTACGTTTATATTTATATTATTATTAGTATTGTATTATCGTAGTATTTTTGATATATAAAATAAATTATACTTGTATTTTTTATTAAATATAATTTAGGCACTTTTACCCTTTGCTATTATTGGTAGTGAAGAAGAAATAATTGTTAATGGAAGATCTGTTCGTGGACGTCAATATCCATGGGGTGTAGTAGAAGGTTGACATTTATAAAATATATCCTTTCCATATATCTTTATTATTTTGTTAATGATTTAATAATATTTTCTTTTTTTAATTGTTCATTTTAATAATAGTAAATAACCCACAACATTCTGATTTTGCTAGGTTACGGTCTGCATTATTAAGGTATTTTTTAAAATTTTTTATTCAAGAAAAATAACATTTTATATGATTAAGCACTGTGTAAATTTAATATTACATTTCATTCAGTTCTCATTTACAAGATTTGAAAGAAATCACTCATGATTTCTTGTATGAAAATTATCGTACTGAAAAACTTAGTAAGACTGTCGATAATCCATCTGAGTGAGTATTATTTTAATGAGAATAATAACAATAGGAAATAATAATCAGTATTGCTTTTAGTTAATTAACAAAGTAATAACAATAATAACTTTTTTGATATTGTTTATTTATTAGTGACGTTAACATTCTACCTGAAACATCTAAAAATGTCAAAATTAAAGAAGAACAATTAAAACGCGAAGAAGAGAAGGTTCGTCAATATTAATTTTTTTTCTAGTAACAATGATAGTCGTTTGAAATTAATTAACCCCCTTTTTATTATTATTTTAATTTCATTAGTTGAGAGAAATAGAATTGAAAGTAACAAGAGAAATCACTGAAAGAAGACAAGAGCTTTTGGCCAAAGAGGAAGCTTTAAGGAATTTGGAAGCACAAATTAGCTCAGGCTCAAGATATGAAACAAATGGTTAAACAAAATATTAGAGGTTTACAATAATAATTTTATTTATTTATTTAATTTGCATTTATTTTTATTATATATTAATTTAATTAGTAATAACAGTAAATAATAATTGTAATAGTAATTTTTTTGTTTTTATGGGTGGGGGGAATTTGGCAAAAAATTAATAAACAATTAACTGAAAATATCATTTTAAATATTTATACAATTTACGAGTATCTTTTGGAGAAAATTCTTTCGTTTAAAATACCACGTCAATTACTTTAAGCATAATTAATTTGCTAATATGATTGATTACTAATACTATATTCCTGAGAAGCAGACTAAAAACCGTGATTATATTAATATGTATAGCAGGTTTAGTATATATCAATGGGAAAGAAAACTAATGCGAATAATGGAAATTAATAAAATGTTTACCAACAATAATTGTTTTGTTTTTCAGCTTAGATGTGGAATGGTTTATTGTGTGTGGTATTAGCTTTCGTTATAATCTCAAATGTTTAGACAATAACGTATGCAAATATAATTTGCTATTAGACAAAGTAAATGATTTCATTTCAGAGTTCAAAGCGCTGAGAAATTGCTTAACGCCTATGTTTTATTTTATTATTTCTTGTTTCTCATTATAAGATAATATATAGGAGTAATTGATACAAAAATATAGACTAGGCAAATACTTTTTTTTCCTACTTTTGTATATATTCACATCAAGATTTTCAACTTGTTGGTCATTCTCTTAGTTTGCATCCTGCTTGCTTCCGAGTAAGTTTTTCTTTTCCAAAGGGCATTGTAATTCTGAGATGTCTTCTTGCAACTGCAGAATTATCACTATCAACGTTTTCTTACCTTCTTTTTGCTAGTACTCTTTGTCCTAATACAAACACGATAATCCATTGATTAATTAAAATCACGGTTGCAAAATCGCAGATTCCCACCTTTCTTTTTTACTTGCTCCTTAATGAACAATGGAGGCAGTCGATGTTGTTTATATTAATATGGGCCGATTTATTTCTTCCCCAGATTGAAATTTCAAAATATATCAAAGTGACATTTTCTTTAATAAAAAACTGGCTATTGCAACCTTTTTCTAAGAACAAAAGCAAAGTTTAGCAGGTTATAATAGATGGAAGTTTTATCATAGATTAAAAGATGCTATAAAAATTTTTGGTGGAATTTTCTTTGGACAAATTTATTAAACATATATTAATATAGGATGAGAGTTTTATAAAGTGATAATAAATAAAACAAATAAATTGCGCGTCTCCAAATGATAATAATACAAAAATGAAAATTTTCAGCAAGAAATTTGGCAGGGTTGGAAATAAAGCCAGAGTTTGCATGTGTCTAAAAAGTTTGTAGAGACGATGAAATTTGTAATTCATAAATCTATAAACAAAATAATTTTTTTTTGTTTCAGACACGAAATCATCTTAACCGGGTTATTTTTAAATCCTTGAATATTTATAGTTGTCTTAAATAACTTTTGAAATATCTTAAATGTAATTAAACTTTAATTATAATACGTACATATTAATATAGCGTTAGATTATAGAAATAAAATTACATTGTCAAAGAATAAAATTATAAGAAAATAATGAAATAATAAATTAATTATCGGCGCCACTTAAAATTGATTGTCTATCTGCTATTATTGTTGTTGTTATTCAAAAATTGGTTTACAAAATTTTGGAAGTTTTGAAGCTGAGATACTATGTAAATAAGTAGTTGTTCATTGTTATTATTTGCGACGATAGAATTTTGATGTCCAACGAAAAAATTATTATCAAAAAAATTGTTTGGATGATTAATGCCCGCAGAAATGGTTGGATTCTGGTCAATGATGTCATTATTATTGTTGATAACTCTAGTTAAGCTTTGGCCAACAAAATTATTGTTACTGATGATGCCTAAATTTTGGGTTGGCGATATTATTTTGATGAACGTCGCCAAAGTTTTGATTAATGTAATTATTTTCAACAGAATTCTGGTTTTGATGAATGTAATTATTATAGTAGTGGCTAGCGGTTTGATTGATGTAATTTACGTAATTATGATTATTAGCATTAGAAACAAAGTCTTGGTTATTAATATCAATATAGTTTTTAGAATCATCATCATCATTATTATTATTATTATTATTATTATTATTATTATTATTTTCAGAATAATTTTGATCCATTTTTAGTCTTTTTTTATATGTTGATTATGAATTTATGAATTTATTTTATATTTATTATGATTATGATTATTTTGGAGTTTTTTTTTAAAAAATAAAATTTTTCGTTTTCGAATTTTATCATCTTTATGTTAAATTTTATTATTATTATTATCATTTCTTTTCGAAAATGACATTATACAAATGTGTAAATTGACAACAGGTTGTTTGTGTAATAGTAATATTAATATTAATACGTATTAAGTTGCATTTTTATTATGTTGTACTAAACATGATCAAAGGTTTGACTAGACATTTTATTTTATTTATTTTTAAAAAAATACAAATACACAAATACTTCCATTTTTAAAACAATAATAACATTATATAATATAATAATATAATAATATTCTAATATAATTTTTTTCCTTGACAAGATTACAATCCTTAATATGGGGCCTGTACTAGGAAAATCAAGCTATAGTGTCAATCATCTAAAGACATCCCAAAATGTTGTCAATCTTTAAATGATGATACTTTAACTAAATACAGACTATTTTACCAAAAACTCTCTATTTTTGCAATCTTCTAGATATAAAAAATAATGTAATAGAAAGTTTTTTTGAGTTATTTAGTAAAAAAAAAGGTGTAATGGCTTAAAGTTAGGTAACTTTACTATATATGTTATTTTAAATTTCGGCAACTATATATCTTAAACTGCAATTTACTGATTATTTTCATGATTTATTGATTATTCATGTGATAAAATCGCAGTTCTCTTACAAATTTGGATTTATTATATATATATATATATATATATATGGGGTCTGTACTAGGAAAATCAAGCTTCTCGCTATTTTTTTTTTGTCTTTTTACTCATTAATAATCTCTAATAAAGGATTTACAGTTGGTGAAAAAATTTGACCCTGTTTGCATAGTAGAAAAATGAGATACAAGGCTTGTAATATTTTCTTTATATATTAAAAACATGTGTAACCAAATTTATAAGGGTTGTTACCAAAAATAGATTTTTTGTCTGGAAGCTACAAACCCCATATATAAAGCAGGATCGAGATAAAAATTTTCGGAAAGTGGCGCAGCACATGATGATTTGCACCATACCAACTGGGTTTTTTTGACTTTTTACTCAACAATAATCTCTGGCACAAGAATTTATAAATTGGTAAAAAAATTGAACCTTGTTTAGTAGAAAAATGAGATACATGGCTTGGAATATTTTCTTTTAACTAAATTTATAAGGGTTGTTACCAAAAATAGATTTTTTGTCTAGTAACTCAATTTTTCTAGTACAAACCCCATATGATGATAATGTTTTCTGTTTTGTTGCATAACAAGATTGTTCACCATAATAGGATCAATTGCTCAATACTAGATCTTTTTTTAATAATATAATATTGTTTTCTGTTTTGTCATGTAATAAGATTGGATCAATTATTTAACCCCAAATCCTTATAAAATTAACTTAATATGAATAATAACAAAATAATATTCTATTTTGTCACATGACAAGATAGTTTACCATCAGATACATCAGATAGTCATTTAACTCTAGATCCTTCTTCCTTTGAAACTAAAGTTGGTGACTGTAACTGTTTTCACATTTTCTGCAACTACAGGTTTCAAAGCTCAAGTTGCAACCTTTTCTGTGGCCTCTGCAACCCTGAAACTGTCTGTAACTTCTGCAACCCCTGAAACTGTCTGCAACTATAATTATGATGACTTAGTATCAAAAATGGGATTTATTTGATTTTAATAAAATCATTACTACTACTATTATTACTATTTCTAAATAAAAAAACATTCTTATTATCTTTTATTATTGCTATTGCCATTATTTTTACCATTAAACATAAAATAAATTGAGTTTATAGTGATTGAAGTAGCTGACCAACCAGAGATTGCAGACAGCTGCAGACAATTGCAGCAATTGCAGCATTATATGTCTATATTTTTTTGGGTTGCAACCTTCTGAATTGCAACTTCCTAGTTGCAGAGCTACCTTTATAGTTGTGAGTGAACATAGGGAAACTTATATATTATTGGACTTTTATCTTATATATTTATCAGACACCTCTTGACCTGTATTTGAAATTACATGATTGCAGTATGTAGTTAATATTGAGAGAGTTTTTTGATATTTATATATAAAATGAGGTATTTGATCAAATTTCTGTATATTAATTAAAACAATTATGTTTCTACTCTAAAAAGTAAAAAAAAAATTTATTTATAAAAAAAACTCCTTGGTTAATTGGTGAATCAATAAAAATTTTGATCAACATATATCATTTATGTATATATAAAATACCAAAAAACCCTCTCAGTATTGACTACATACATTACTTTCTTTTTATTGAGTATAATAAAATACTATTTTTATTTGATTTTATGTTTTTTCTATACTTAAAATAAATTTAGTGAATATAAATTTTATGTTGCATAACCATTTACAAACACAGGTGATTATTTTTTTTAATTAGTGAATGTGCCCCACATTTTCTATTAAAATCCCCTGGTTGATAAATGATCTGTAAATTAATTCAATTACTCATTTTTTCTACTAGGAAACAGGGCCTGATATTTTCACCAATTACAATCTTTATGTTATAGATTAATATCATATAAATAACACAAGTTGTTCAAATGACCTTGGAAACAGTTTTCAATTTTAGACTTGTGCAAATTATTTTAAAAAGGTATCCAGCCTACAATTTCACCATGTTTCTCACCAAGCAAACAAGGTTTAATATTTTCACTAAATATATACTCTTTATGTTATAGATTAACATCAACCCTCCAAAAAAATTTTAGAAATTTGAATTTAAACTAACA